ACTAAAAGAATTTGATAAAATAGATAAAATTTTGTATATAAATTTAAAAATAAATCATTTATGTTAAATTAAAAAATTTATAAAAAATTACTGTCACACTCCAAAACTCAAATCCAAGGGCATAATAAACGCCGTGTACTCGTAAACGGATCCCACAAATGCACAAAGTTCGAAACCTACTGAATTCTTAGTTTTCAATTTGGATAATTCAAATCTAAAAACTCAGGTAAAATCTAACTTTCAATTACCAAAAATTTACTAATCAAGATGTACAACAGTTTATAAAATAGTTATGGCTATAACCAAAGAAACTCTATACACAAAAATGGTTATTTATGTCAACTATGTGAGATTAGCGGCCTAACTCCAAAAGATTTAAGTCCAAAATAATGCCTAATCGTCTAGCTCGTCACTCCCCTGGCTCCTTATGTATCGGGTATCACTACCTGAAATGATGGATAAGGAAAAACTAAGTGAGATAAATTATCTCATTAAGTAAAAATATGGATAGCCCGTAAGTAAAATTTAAGCAGGTCAGATAAATAAGGTAAACACAACAAAACATTCAATGATAAACCATTCCTACATAATAAAATTCAGTAATAATCTCATCTATAAGTCATGGTTAGTGTTTAATAAACTCCCACTGGTAGGCGTCAGTAATAACCAATGTTTAACAACTCTCATTGGCAGACATCAGTAATAACCAGTGTTTAACAAACTCCTATTGTCAGGCGTAAGTAATAACCAGTGTTTAACAACTCCCACTGGTAGGCATCAATGTTTAACAACTCCCACTGGCAAGCGTCAGTAATAACCTGTGTTTAACAAACTCTCACTAGCAAGCGTCAGTAATAACCTGTGTTTAATAACTCCCACTGGTAGGCGTTAGTAATAATCAGTGTTTAACAAACTCCCACTGACAGGCGTCAGTAATAGCCAATGTATTGTCTCATTGGTAGGATTACAGAATGAACCGATTCTATTGATATACATGTCGACATGTGCTAGCGTTTGCAAACTCCCAATAGCAGGCATCAATAATTATGACTATATCAGAGAGAAAACCATACAAGATTTACAGGAAAATTCGTAATTCACAATCAATCTCAGTTTCAAGAATAAATCGAAAAAATTTCATGTGAGCATGCTCAATTCCAGAAAAATAATAAAAACTCTCATTTTCATTCCAATCATACTCAGGTACTAATAAATCAATTTAAAATCAATTTAACCTTGCCACCATCTCAAAAACAATTTAAAATATGCTTTTAAAATCGAAGAGTATTATCATAATTTTACTTACCTCATATCACGTAATATCGAAAACTCAAGCCAAGTGCTCAAGTGATAAAACACTTAAGAACCTAATCAAAATACCTCAAAATTAATACCGTATTACCACAAATTCAAAATGAAAACATCATTAGGATCACCCCTAATCAAAGATGCTATTTATATTAACCTCCACATGACTGCACACCTCTAATTTCATTTTTATTTTAAAAATTAATTATTTAATCATATTCCATGATTGCCGACCATTAATTCTAATAGGCAAATTTTATTTCTTTATTCTTCTTTTATTCAAAATTTGAGCACACAACATCAAATTGTATATTTATATATATGTATATACATAATTACACATATACAACATTTCCCAAACTCCACCATACGGCCGATGGGCTGCGCGCCTCAATGAAAGGGGTGGGAGATTACCTGTTCTGGGATCGAATCCCCAATTGTTAATATTTCCTAACCTAACTACTACCCATTACCCTTATTCAAAAAAAAAAAAAAAAAACATTTCCCAAATTCATGGACAGAACATGGAGGAACCGGCTTTGGCAAAAATTGGCTAAGTCACGGGATTTTTTTCCATATAAACCTCACAGCTAAATCAAGAGATTTCTACATGAATTAAACTAAAAACACAACTTGAAGCGCTATCAATTTCTTCTATATTTCGGCAGAAATTGAACAGTACAGAAGCAGCAATCACATGGATAATTTTAGCAATTAAATGGGTAAAGTTGAATTCAAGGGGTTGCCACATACCCAAAAACCGAGAAATTAACACCCACACCAAGCTGAAACCGACAGCAGGGGAGGAGGAAGGCAGCTAGATCTGGGATTTTTCTTGCTTCAGGAGGCTTCTAGGTCCTAATACTTGTTCTTGACAAGAAAGCAAGGGAAAAATTTAAGCTTTTGCCAATTTTCCTCAAGAGAGGGTGGTCGGCAGCTTGGGGGGCTTGTCGGGTTGCAGGGGGGGTCGGGAGGAAGAAGATAAGCAGAACACAGGACTGGGTGAGGAAGAAAAAAAAAAAGAAAGAAAAGGAAAAAAAATTTTTTTTGCCGACCTTATCCAAATTTTCTCTTTTAAGTCCCTGAACTTTGAAATTTTTTATTATTAAGGCCAACAATATTATTCTCTCACAATTAAATCCATAACTCACACTTACATGATTTAGAAAATTTGGGGATATTACAATGACTTATTTGTTATTTATTATTTATTATTTTTAAAAAAATTAAAATCTTAATTAATAAAATAAAAATTAAATCCTTTTAATGACGGAGCTACAAAAGTATAAATGCTTTGGTTCTTGTGAATTTATCGGGCAGAATGTGTTTATATGTTTGGACTTTATTTATTGGTAACATTGAACCATATTTACCTCTGATCTTGATTTGGTTTGAGTTTATTTAACAACTTTATATTTTTATATTTTACATGTTATAATATTTTAAAAATATTATAATTTAATTAATTAAAAAAAATTTTCTTCTCTTCTGTTCCTTCAAAAGCC